AAAGTAGAGGGTCAGCGAAAAAGAGGAAGACCCTCAAGGAGATGGATTGACACAGTGGCTGCAACAGTGGGCTCAAGCATAGCAACGATTATGAGCATGGCACAGGACCGGGCAGTGTTTCGTTCTGTGGTACATAGGGTCGCTATGAGTTGGAACTGACTCGATGGCACCTAACAACAACTAACAACAAACATTATTTAAAATCAGAAATATTTTAGATTTTCTAAATAAATTATGGATATATAATGAAATACCATGTAAACATTAAGTGACATTATTTAAAAGTAATTATTGAAAAATTATCCATGATATATGTGTGCAAGTGCTTATATGGTATTCATATTTTTAAAATTCTATGTGTATATGCATCTGTTACTATTATTTAACCTATATACATTAAAGCTTTATCTATTACAGTTGTAATTTTAAGGTACATTCTTGTTGCCAGAATATATTTAAGGACAATAATATTTAGATCATGGTTGTGGTTAGAAACACAGTGTAGTTAGGCCAGGTGTTTTATCCCTCCTCTTCTATCCTTATGAAACAAAAGGAACTTTTGATCATCTTATGTAGTTCTTGGTCAAGTTAATGTATTATCAGTCTTATAGTATGATCAGAAAATAAGAGAAGATATATAAATCTTTCATAATTGGGAACATTATTTTAATAATTTGTTGTTCTTTCGTTTTTCTGATAAAATAAGAGGAATACACATTTAAATCCATTTAATTGCAGATATTTTGAGCTAAACAAAAAACTCTTTTTCTTTTTTTAAATTTTCAACAGTACTTCAACCCTATGTGTTCAGATTCCTACAAAGATGCATCTTGATGATGACGAGAATTTCCCTCTTTCCGTGAATTTTCCAGAGGGCAGAATCATCACGGGCTCTCGCTATGGAATTAACGCTAGACTTACCTGTCACCTTAGCTTCAAATCATCTAAACCTGTGTCATTTTTTACCGAGGTTCTTTTCTATGATGCCCAAAATAACTGGTAAGATATTTACATGTAGATTCTTTTGGATCTAACAGTGAAGAACCAAGGTTTATATTCTACACCATTGTAAAATGTTAAGAGAAATAATATATGACTTGGGACATAAAAATTTTCTTAAAAGTGCAGAAGGTACCTTTGCTTATATGAAACAGAGCATAATAGTGGTTATCAGCATGTTCTCTGGAGCTAGGCTGCCTGAGTTTGTATCCTGGCTCTGTTAACTTTGGTGAAGTTATTTAACCTCCTCATCTTTAGTTTCTTCATATGAAATTGGAATAATAACAAAATCTAGCCCTTCCATGGTCATGTGAAATTAATTGAGTTAATAATTACTGAGTAACTGGACATGACCTGGCACATTCCAGTTGCCATCACGTCGACTCCAACTGATGGTGACCCCATTTGTGTCCGAGTATAACTGTGCTCTATAGGGTTTTCTATGGCTGAGGTTTTTTGTTGTTGTTGTTGTTTTATTGTTGTGCTTAAGTGAAAGTTTACAATTCAAGTTAGTCTCTCATACAAAAATTTATACATACAATGTTTTGTGACCCTAGTTGTTCGCCCCATACTGTGAGAACATACTCTTCCTTTCCACCCTGGATTTCCCATATCAATTCAACCAGCTCCTGACCGTCTCTGTCTTCTCATCTCACCTCTGGACAAGGCGCTGCCCATTTAGTCTCATGCATCTACTTGAGCTAAGAAGCACACTCTTCACAACTATCATTTTCTATCCCATAGTCCACTCTAATCTTTGTCT